CCGCCTGCAACTGCGGTGGCCCCCGGGGACCGGCGGGCCCGCGCGCTCTCCGCACCCCCAGAGGCTGCGCCCTGGGCCTGTGCGCACCCTACGCCGGGGAGACTCAGGCCAGGAGTGCGAGCCTCGGCCCGGGGCCACACCTCCGCCCGGAGCCACACCCCGCCCCGGGCACGGCAGGGTGGGTGGTAGACTGAGCCCGCAAAACCCACCTCGGTCACCCGTCCTCAAGCTCCGATGGCGGCGGCCGCGCTGACGGGCCCGGCGCAGGTGAGTGGTGGATGCGCCCCAGGCCTCAGCCTTTGCACCCCACCCCACCTCGCTCCTGGCGCCAAGAGAGAGAAGATGGCATGGTTCTGGAACTTGTCGCCTTTCCCATCTCCTTGCTTTGCGGCCGGGGGACCCTGGAGGGGAGTCACTCCTACTTAGGCTCCCTAATCCAGGCCAGGGGTTATATAGAGCGGTTTCCATTTCTGAAATCTAGTGGGATGAGGGGAGCAAGGGTTTCCTGGGCACAGGAACCAGCATATGCAATTGCTTGGGGAACGGGGACTGAGTTGTGAGTGTTGAGGGAACCCCAGATCCCTGTTCCTATGTCCGGGAACCAGAAGACACCGCTAGAATGGCAGGCTGAGGAGCTGGTCTCTGTTGAGGATGCTGGGAGCTAGGGAAGGGTTAGAGCAGAGGAGGAAGATGATCTGTCTCCCGTCGTACCAGGCTCCGTATGGATGCGGAGTGGAAACCCTAACCGAATGTGGGGTGAGGGTGGAGGCAGGGAGCTCAGGAGTCACCCACTATAGTAGTACAGATGAGTGGTGCTGGTGGCTGGGCCAGAGGGGTGACTGCAGGTGGAAGAAGTGATTGGATTCTGGATCTTTTAAGTCGGGCTGACCAGGTTTTTTGATGTGGGGGGTGAGAAAGAGGAGGGATGACTCCATGGTTTTTTTTTTCAGCAGCTGGAAGGATGGATGAGCTACCAACTGAGAAAGAACATCTGGTTGGAGGAGGAGTTCTCAGTGGAAATAGCGGATTTTAGGCTTTGGCTGTGTTTGGATGTTCCAGAGATGTCTGAGTGGAGTTGAAGAGTAGACAGCTAGACACACAGTTATGGTGTTCTGGGGTGGGTTTGGGTGTGTGGTTGGGGCTATGAGAGACTGAATATACAAACGGACAATGGCCAGACCTTACAGGAAAATACAACTCTGACCACAACTTGCAGCAACCTGCCCGGGAAACCAACCCCCTTATCTACAATAAACAACCCAGGAAGCCAGCCTGCTGTGAGTCGGACTTGCAGGAAGCCAGATTACTAGCTGTAATGACAATCCAGGAAGTTAAACAATAACTTCTGTAATGATCGGCTCCAAATCGAGAGCTTGATTAATAACTGCCAGATTCCCTAATTTTTCCTCCTTCCAGCTTAGGACCACCTGGAAAAAGTCCCCCCTAACCAATCCCATAGGATGCCCTGCTTCTAGTTAGCCAGCCTACAGCTTCCCCCTGCCGACGTTCTCCAACCTGGGCTTCCTGAAGCCTTCTCTTTTGTCCACTGTAATGTTTTCCCACTACTCTGCCTGCCTTTGAGTCTCCAACAAAATGCAAGTGACAGTTGCTGACTCTCTTGCTCTAGCAAGCTCTGAATGAATAGACTTGCCTTTTCTCATTTGGTTGGTATTGGTTTATCTCCACAGTTGGAAACATTCAGTATGTGGCATCTGGTATGTGGATGAGTGTAGCTGTGTGTCAGATTTAGGAGAGTGAACCTTTAGGTATTGGTGACAATGATGTCAGTAAAAGAGGAAGGTGGGGCTGGAGAATTAAGAGCAGGGTGTCTTGCTTGGGCACTGTGGCTGGCTTGTTTGGCATCATAAAGACAGACGAGGATGGTTGCACTCATGGTGGTGGGGCTGTGAGTGGGGATGAGAGGGTCTAGCAGGTGGTCTGGTGGGTGTGAGGTAGATGCTGAGGCTTCATAGTAATGCAGGTGGTATTACAGTGTGGCCCGGGCTGGTGCTTAGTCACCCATCTATGTTCTCACCAGACTTTTGCAGTGACCCTTGAGTGGGCCTTGGGATTTTGAGTCAGGCTGGGGAATTAGCTCAGGGGCAAATGGCGTCAGTTGGAAGAGTTGCTGGGCCCTCGGTGGGTAAGGGCAGGAGGACCACAGGGGATGGCTTTTGAATGAGTGTGTGATGAAGAAACAGAATGTGCAATGCAAAGAGGGCCAAGGGCATGTGACATCTGTGTGTGCTCTAGGTGGTTCATTGAAGCCAGGAGCAGGGCCAGATGGGGAGGCCTCCAGAGGAGGGGTGGTTGTTGCCATCTGGAGCACAATGTGGTCGTGGCTGTATTTGCCAAGCATTCTCTGGCTGCCCCGTGCAGAGTGACACGTGGGAGTCCATGGACTTGGCTATGATACTGGCCAGGATGGGAGAGGTTCACAGGGACAAGGGGTGCAGTGCGGAGCCCAGAGTTGTGAGGAAGGACAGTCCAAAGAGTGAAGTGCAGGTGGGCGTGAGCGGGAGCTGTTGCCCCAGGGCCCTGGACTGGGGATTAAGGGAGAAGACTGAGTCCATGTTTGTCTGTATCTGAGGAGCATGACACTAGGGGAAAGGATGTGCAGAAGAGGAAGTCGGGCCTGCCTGCTGCTGCTGTGGGTTGTTGGCACAGTGGTCACGTGAGACATGAGAAAAGAGCAAGCATCCCCGGGGCCAGGACCTGGACTCTCCTGTTTGCTGGGGAGGAGGGTGAGCAGGGGATGCCTAGGAGTCCTGAGGAGAGAGGCTGATCATGGAATGAACTGTCCCCACCATGGCAGGGCTGTGTGACCTTTGAGGACGTGACCATTTACTTCTCCCAGGAGGAGTGGGGGCTCCTCGATGAGGCTCAGAGACTGCTGTACTGCGATGTGATGCTGGAGAACTTTGCACTTATAGCCTCGCTGGGTAAGGCCGTCACACCCGCCCCAGTGTCCTGAGCTGGTCTCTGACTGTTTCCTTGGCCCAAGAGGCAGCTCTTTCCTTCTTGCAGCCAGACCATATGCACTGCTTCCTTCCCCATGTCCCTGGTACATGTATTGTGGGTTCCAGGGCTGTGCTGTATGCAGTGCCCCTTCCTCTCCCTGAGCATCCCCTACACCTGCTGTCTGAAGCCTGGCAGGGAAGGGGAGGTGTGAGGAGTCTTGCAGTCAGCCCAGTGAAGGCCATCTCTCTCGGCCACTCCCCGCCTGGCTGATTGTCCAAAAGTCTGACAGTTCTGTGGTTCAGGTTCTCTCCCTTTCCATTTGCTAATATTTCCTAAGCCTGACTGTTCCAGGAGTCCAGGCACTGATGTGGTTAGTACTTGCTGTGTCCACTGGGACGTTCCTGCCTCACCTGCCTTGTACAGTCTTTTTGTAATATTGAGTTTTCTTTCGTGAGGTTTGTCATGGGGTAATTCACCTGGGCAAGCACTGGCCACTGACCTGCCCTGTCTTTCCCTTAGGACTTACATCATTCAGGTCCCACGTAGTTGCCCAACTGCAGGTGGGGAAGGAGCCCTGGGTGCCTGACAGAGTGGATATGACCTCAGCCATGGCAAGAGGGGCGTGTAACGGGACTGGCTCTGGTAAGTGTGAGCTGGGGGAGGATGTGACGTGGCCATTGTTTTCAAGTCATACCAGCATCTTTTCTCTTGTTCTTCATTGTTTGGTGCCAACGGCAATGGCCATACCTCATCTCTACCTTTCTTTCCTGTTCTGCACACATGACTCACTTCTCTACTCTGACTTGGATCCCCTGGCTTTGCCACACCTTTCTGGCCTCCATGTCTCACTCTTCCTGCAGCACTCTCCAGTGCTGGCCTATGCTTAGTAGGTCATGAGATTTGCACATTACCTTGAGGCCTTGAACACCAGCTACTCAGTTGCAATCAGTTTCCTGGGCCTAAATACTCTCTCTGCTTAGCTCTTGCAGGTGACCAGCAGCCAAGGCCCTGCTGAAAGGCCTTTATAGAGAAGTCAGTTGGAGATGCTGCCTCTCCACCCAATGCTGAACCTCAACCTTAGTCCTGGTAGAGCCTCCCAATTTTGTTACCTGGCAGACCATTCTTTACCCTGACTTGGGGCTTCTCATCTTGCCAATAATCCCATGGACTCATTCTTAGGTAATCCAGGCATATGAGTGTACTCTTAAATGTTTGTAGGAAGATGAAATTAAAAAATAAAATTTTCATCATCATTTTTTTTCCATGAAAATTTTGAAGTACTGTTATATGTGCTGGGGCTGATTCCTTTTGTCAAAGTTGATATGAACTTCACCAGCATTTCTCTGCTTTCAGATTTTTGCTGTGGAACAGAGGGTGAGGAGTTACCTTCTGAGCATAGTGTTTCTGAAGGAGTGTCACAGAACAGGAATCCTGAGGTAGCTCTGTCCACCCAGAAAACCTACCCCTGTGACATGTGTGGCCTACACTTGAAAGACATTTTACACCTGACTGAACACCAGGCAACACATCCCAGGCAGAAACTACACATGAGTGAGGCATGTGGGAAGGGGTTCAAGTTCAAGGCAAACCTTCCCCAGCAGCAGGCGCAGGAGGTTATAGACAAGCCTATCAGAAAGGAGGAGTGCAGGGCCTCGCCTGTGAAGACCTGCAGAGACCACACGTCAGAAAAGCCCTTCACATGCAGGGAGGGTGGGAAGGACTTTGTGGCCACTTCAGGCTTTCTGCAGCCTCAGGTCACTCCCAGTGTGGAGGAGCCACAGAAGAGCACTGAAGGTATGGTGGATTTTCACACTGTGCACAGGCATAACAAGTGCAGTGAATCTGGGAACCCTTTGAGTGACAAATCCACATTTGTTCAGCACCAGAAAATTCCCACCAGGGAACGACCTTATGAATGCAGCAAATGTGGGATATTCTTTAGCTATGTCACTGCTCTCATTCAACACCAGAGAGTTCACAACAGAGGAAAACCTTATGGGTGCTGCGAATGTGGAAAATTCTTTACCCAACACTCCAGTCTTATTAAACATCAGCGAGTTCACACTGGTGAAAGCCCCCATGTTTGCAGCGACTGTGGGAAATTCTTTAGCCGAAGCTCCAATCTCATTCAACATAAGAGGGTTCACACTGGTGAAAAGCCGTATGAGTGCAGTGACTGTGGGAAATTTTTCAGCCAGCGCTCCAACCTCATTCATCATAAGAGGGTTCACACTGGTAGAAGTGCTCATGAGTGCAGTGAATGTGGGAAGTCCTTCAACTGCAACTCCAGCCTAATTAAACACTGGAGAGTTCACACTGGAGAAAGACCTTATAAGTGCAATGAATGTGGGAAATTCTTTAGCCATATCTCCAGTCTCATTCAGCATCAGATAGTTCACACTGGTGAACGGCCTTATGAGTGTAGTGAATGTGGCAAAGGCTTCAGCCGAAGCTCCGACCTCATGAAACATCAGAGAGTTCACACTGGTGAACGGCCTTATGAATGCAATGAGTGTGGGAAATTGTTTAGCCAAAGCTCCAGCCTCAATAGCCATCGGAGACTTCACACCGGTGAACGGCCTTATAAGTGCAGTGAATGTGGGAAATTCTTTAACCAAAGTTCCAGCCTCAATAACCATCGAAGACTTCACACTGGTGAACGGCCTTATCAGTGCAGCGAATGTCGGAAAACCTTCAGACAGAGGTCTAATCTGAGGCAGCACCAGAAAGTTCACAAAGCAGATAGGCCTTATAAGTGCAGTGAATGTGAGAAAGCCTTCAGCCAAAGGCCTACCCTCATTCGGCATCAGAAAATTCACACTAGAGAAAGGACTGTAGAGAATGTGCTCCCTTCTTGTTCGACACAAGGCACGTGCAAGATATAAGCTCTGAGAACAGTGTTTATGAGGCACCTGCCAGCTGGAAGTTGAACCTTATTCATCCAAATGTCCATAATGGGGAGATTCCATTTGAATGCTAGATAGTTGGAAACTGCCTGGAGTGAAGTTGCATTATTGACCACGGATTTTTTTCAGAGTTTTGTCACTACCAGGGTGACAGAAGCCATCTCAGCTGTACCCACTGGAAGGTCTCCAGTGTATGTGTCAGCCACTGCACTGTGCTCAGGGAAGGCAGACCTCTATTCTGTCTTTCCAGTCCCAAAGAGAATCTTGAGTTGTCTGAGGCCGTGGGAAGATGTCATTCCCTCCTGCTGTGGCTGGTTTAGCTGTGGACATGTCTCATCTTTGGCCATGAACACCTGAGCAGGGTTCTGTTGGCAGCTGGCACAGGTTTCCTTTTTTCCAGGACATTGTTGATCTCACATGATGGCTTGTGATGGATTTGTCCAGACTTGAAGTTACCTGACCCAACACCTACCCTCTGTACATTGCTGTGATTCATGTGATAATAAGAGCCTTATTCATAAGGCCACCTTTAATCTCCCATGTTCTGATCACTGTGTGGGTGAGACCAGAATTCAGGGCTACTAAACTAAAGGGGTCTCCACATTTATTATCTTAGAGGGGACCATGGGATGGCAGACAACAACTTTTAGTCCATTTGTGGCCTCATTACAATGCTCTCCAAGGCCTCCTAGGAAAAATTGTAGGGCTTTGTGGGCCTAATGTTGTGGTCTATGCAACATGAATTTTTGTGTTACTCTGAGGAGGGGTAGTTGTGACAGCCTCCAGTGCATCTGGGTGCAGCATGAATTTGGTCCCTTATTCCAAGTAGGTGCCCCATATTCCCTAGCACTATTAAGCAGGTGCTATTTAACTGGCACCTGCCATGGAGCCATATGCCCAGAAGTTCAGCATCCCCAATATGGGTGTCTCTAAGACCTACTGGGCCCAGATTAGGACCATAATTTGGACAGAGATACTGGGTGTGATTAATAGGGAGTAGGTGAGAGTATAGTGAACCAGCAGGAATGGACCTATTTTAAGGGCTCATGCACAAATATTCCTTTGAATCTAGCTGTGCAGGATTTGGGTTTGCAGAAATTCTCAGGACCTCCAGATTTCTGTGCTATGACTAAGGTTACTGGCAGAGAAAATAAAGGTTTTGTGGATTACTGCAGGTTCCTTGCACTATCTATCTCAAGGCCAGGAAAATAGGGAGTGAGAGAAAGTTCCTGTATTCCAGGGATGTAGCATTTGTGATGTAGCCAGCCATTCTTTGCTGCCAAGGCATGAAGAGAGATATAGTGGAGTGGACACTGGGTTGCCAAATCGTGTAGTTTTGCAAAATGAGTGGGAGGTGAGATTTTTATGTGCAACAATTTCTTTTAATGCTTTGTTGAGATATAATTGCCATTCAATAATTGACTATACATATTTGGTGCATGCAATTTGATAAGTTTTGAAATATGTATACACTCAGGGAACCAACACTATAATTATAATAACGAACATATCTATTACCCACAGAGCTACCTCATGCCGCTTTACAATCCCTCCTTGCCTTCCCCAGGAAACCATTAGTTACATGCCAGGGAAACATTTGTTTTACTTTTTTTTTTTTACTACATATTTGTTTGTCTTTTCTAGAATTTTGTACAATTGGAATCATAAAGTATTTATACTCTTTTTTTGGTTTGGTGTCTTTCATATAGCATATTTATCTTGAGAGTCATCTGTGCTGTGTGTGTGCATACTGCCGAGTAGTGCTGCATTGAATGAATGCAGCACAGTTTTTTTTATTAATTTTTTAAAAATTCTGATAAAATAGGCATGGAATTTATAATCTTAATCATTTTTAAGTGTAAATTTCAGTGGTATTAAGTATATTCATATTGTTATGCAGCTATCACCACCATCCTTCTCCAGAAATCTTTTCATCTTGCAAACAGAAAATCTGTACCCACTGTAGAATAACTTCCCATTTTCCCTGCCCCCTGCTCCTGGACACCACCATTCTACTTTCTGTCTGTGTGAATTTGACACTCTAAATAACTCATGTAAGTAGAATCATAAGTATTTGTCCTTTTGTTGTTAGCTTATTTCATACTTAGCATAATGTCCTCAAGGTTCATCGATGTAGCATGTGTCAGAATTTCCTTTCTTGGGCCGGCCCGGTGGTGCACTGGAAAGTGCGCTGCTTGGGAGTGTGGCGGCGCTCCCGCCGAGGGTTCGGATCCCATGTGGAGACCGGTTCCTGCTCACTGGCTGAGCGCAGTGCGGGAGTAACACCGAGGGTTGCGATCCCATTGCTGGTCAGTAAAAAAAGACAAAAAGGAAAGAGAAAAAAAAAAAAAGAATTTCCTTTCTTTTCAAGGCTAAATAGTATTCTACTTTATATACCATATTTTGCTTATCATTCATCTGTTGATTGATACTTGGGTTGCTTCCACCTTTTGGTTTTTGCAAATAATGCTGCTCTGAATATGAATGTACAAATATCTCTTCAAGACCCTACTTTCAATTATTTGGGGTATATACCCAGAAATGGAATTAATAGATCATATTGTAATTTTATGTTTAGTTTTTTGATAACTGCCATACTATTTTCCACAGCAGCTGCACCATTTTGCATTCCCACCAATAACACCCAGTTTCCAATTTCTCCACATTCTCACCACCACTTGTTTTTTTTTTTTTTTTTGTCTTTTTCTGTGTCCGGCAACGGATCGCAACCCTCAGTGTTGCCCCTGTACCGGACCGGGGACCGGCAACGGGATTGCAACCCTCGGTGTTGCTCCCGCGCCTCGCTCAGCCAGTGAGCGGGAACCGGTCTGTATGTGGGATCCGAACCCTCGGGCGGGAGCGCCACCGCGCTTCCCAAGCGGCGCACTATCCAGCGCGCCACCGGGCCGGCCCGCCACTTGTTTTTATTTATTTATTTTTTGATGATAGCCATCCTAATGGGTGTGAGGTGATATCTCAATGTGGCTTTGATATGCATTTTTCTAATAATTTGCAAACTTGAGCATCATTTCATGGGCTTATTGGCTATATCTTTTTTGGAGGAATGTCTATTCAAGTGCTTTGCCCATTATTGAATTGGGTTGTTTTACTGTTGTTGAGTTTTATGAGTTCTCCAAATATTGTGGATACTAATCTATTATCAGATATTTTGCCCCATTCTGTGGATTGCCTTTTTACTCTGTTGATAGTGTCCTTTGATGCAGAAAGTTTTTCATTTTCATGAGGTCCAGTTTGTCTATTTTTTTCTTTTGTTGCCTGTGCCTTTAGTGTCCTATGCAAGAAATCATTGCCACCTGTGTTTTCTTCTAAAAGTTTTGTAGTTTTAGCCCAATGGTTTTGTTCCATTTTGGGTTAATTTTTGCTTATGATGTTGGGTAAGGGTCCAACTTTATTTTTTTGCAACCAGTTTTCCCAACACCATTTGTTCAAAAGACTATCCTTTCCCTATTGATTGGGCTTAGCACCCTTGTCAAAAATCATATGAGCATATATGCAAGGGTTTATTTCTGAGCTCTGTTCTATTGGTGTATATGTCTGTCTTTATGTCAGTACCACAGTATTTTGATTACTGCAGCTTTGTAGTAAGTTTTGAAATTGGGAAATGTGAGACCTCCAACTGTATTCTTTGTGTTCAATATTGTTTGCCTATTCAGGGTTCCTTGAAATTCCTTGTGAATTTTAGGATGGATTTTTGTATTTTTGTAAACAAGTGTCACTGAGATTTTAGTAGGGATTGCATTATATCTGTGGATCACTTTGGGTGGTACTGATATCTTGATAGTATTAAGTTGTCCAACCCACGAATATGGGATATCTTTCCATTTATTTATGTTTTCTTTATTTTCTTTTAGCAGTGAGTTATAGTTTTTATTTACAAGTTTTTCACCTCCTTGGTTAAGTTCAGTTCTAAGTATTTTACTATTTTTGATATAATGTAAATGAAATTGTGTTAAAAATTTCCTTTCAGATTATTCATTGTTAGTTTATAGAAATGTAACTCATGTTTTTGTGTTGATTTTATATTCTGCTACTTTGCTGAATTCATTTATTAGTTCTCACGGGGTTTTTAAAATGTGTGTGTTTGAGCCTTTAGAGTTTACTGCATATAAGATAATACCACCTGTGAAAAGAGATAAATTTATTTCTTCCTTTCCAATTTGGATGCCTTTTATTTCTTGTTCTTGCCTGATTGCTCTGGCTAGAACTTCCAGTACTATGTTGAACAGAAGTAGAGAAAGGGTGCACACTTGCCTCGTTCCTGATAAAAGCTTTCAGTCTTTCATCATTGAGTATGATGTTAGCTGTGGGTTTTCAATATATGGTTTTTATTATGTTGAGGTAGTTTTCTTCTACTCCTAATTTGTTGAGTGTTTTAGTCATGAAATGGTGCTGAATTTTGTCAAATGCTTTTTCTGCATCAAATGATCATGTGATTTTTAAAATTTCATTCTGTTGATATGTTGTATTATATTCATTGATTTTCATATGTTGAATCATGCTTGCATTCCAGGAATGAATCCCATTTGGACCTGATGTATAATTCTTTTAATATGCTGCTGAATCTAGTTTGCTAGTATTTGATTTAGGACTTTTATATGTGTTGTATTAGTCCATTTCTGTTGCTTAAAACAAAATTTCTGTAATTTGTAAAGTAACAATATTTATTGCTTACAGTTTTGGAGGTTGGGAAATACAAAGTCCAGGGAACACATCTGATGCAGTGACTCTATAGCAGTGCAGTGTGTCACATGGTGAGAATGGCAGAGCAGAGAGAGAGCTAACCTCCTCACCAGCTCTCCGTTTAAAATGCTCAAAACCATGCCCACAACCACCATTAAACCATCAACTTATTAATCCATTTACTAGGGCATCATCTTCACAATCCAATCACCTCTCCAAGGTCCCACCTTTCAGCTACCATAATAGGACTTCCCACCCTCGACAGCCACAGTGGGGACTAAGCTTCAGTGAGTTTGGGGGGACATTCAGTCCACTGCACATGTTCATAAGGGATATTGGCCTGTAGTTTTCTTGTAGTGTCTTTGTCTGGCTTTGGTATCAGTCAATGCTGTCCTCATAGAATGAGTTAGAAAGTTCTGCCTCCTATTCAATTTTCTGGAAAAGTTTGAGAAGGATTGGTGTTAGTTCTTTAAATGTTTGGTAGAATGAATCATTCATCTGTCAGGTTCAGGGCTTGGTGGTGTTGCTGGGAGGTTTTTGATTCACTGTCTTTACTGCTTACAGGTCTATTCAGGTTTTCTGTCTCTTCATGATTCAGTCTTGGTAGGTTTTGTGTTTCTAGGAATTTGTCCATTTCATCTAGGTTTTCCTATTTGTTGGCCTACAATTATTCACAGTTCTCTCTTGTAATGCTTTTTATTTCTATAGAATCAATAGTGGTGTCCCCACTTTCATTTTTAATTTCAGTAATTTGAGTTTTCTCTTTTTTTCTTAGTTAACTAGCTAAAGTTTTGTCAATTTTGTTATTTTTTTGAACAACCAACTTTTGGTTTTGTTGATTTTCTCTATTGTTTTTCTATTCTCTATGTTAGTTAACTCTGCTGTCATCTTTATTATTTCCTCCTGCTAGCTTGGGTTTAGTTTGTTGTTCTTTTACTAGTTCCTTAAGTTATATATTTAAATTTTTTTTTTTTTTTTGTCTTTTTTCGTGTCTGGCAACGGACTGCAACCCTCAGTGTCGCGCCCATACCGGACCGGGACCGGCAACGGGATCGCAACCCTCGGTGCTGCGCCCGCCCCTTGCTCAGCCAGTGAGCGGGAACCAGTCTGTATGTGGGATCCGAACCCTTGGCGGGAGCGCCGCCGCGCTTCTCAAGTGGCGCACTGTAACAGTGCGCCACCGGGCCGGCCCCTAAGTTGATGTTCTTTTTTTTTTTTTTGGTCTTTGGATTTTCAGATGTTCAATTGCTCCAGCGTTATTTTTGAAAAGATTTTTCTGTCTTCATTTAATTGCTTTTGTAGGTTTGTCAAAAACAAGTATTACCATATTTGTTGGCATCAGCTTCTAGATTCTCTCTTCTCTTCTTTTGACCTATGTGTTTATTCCTCCACCAGTACCACACTGTCTGTTGCACACTGTAGCTATATAATAACTCTTAACATCAGGTAGGGTGATTCTCTTTAAATG